ATATATATATATATATATATATATATATATATATATATATATGCATATATATATATATATATATATATATATAGGCTCTTAATCGCAAATTAGGAAAATTATTTATATTGTTTATTCTCTTTGGTATATTTGCGAATGTCCTATTGTACATTATAAGTACAAATTTCGTCACGTTTATCTTTGACTGGGATACTTTTCGTGAATTGATTGATCAAAATTTATGTTTTGCCCTGAACTGTCATGTAGCTGTAAATATCGACCAGGTGCGTTATGTTTCCGCTTGTATACATATCTGCTTGTTAGCCTTCTTAAAATATATTAGTTTGAATGTGACACTTCGGGTGTGAAGGAGGATACAATTTGGGAAAATGACGTTCTATTGTTGATAGTGGTAAGATTATTCATGTTCCAAAGAGTGAGGGATGAATAAAAGTAACGTATTCAGAGGAAAACTTATTGTTAGCAAGCCCGTTTTTTTATGGGTTTCAATATTTGATATGATATGTTTCAGCAATTTATTCATTGCTTAGATAGCAATGAACGAATTGTAGAAGTAGAAGTACATTAAACACTGAAACCCGTGAAAGATGAATAAATAACAAGGCAAGGCTTTCAAATAACAAGGCTTTCTCTGAGTCTTACTTAGTCTGCAGCAGCCGTTAATTCTTAGTATTATAATTGTGATTTCATAAATATATTACAACAGGTTGGATAATTTCTGAAAGTTTGTCTTGGTCGAAATTTCTTATTCTCACAACAGTTCTATTTTATAGAAGAGGATTGTTGTGGTCCTTCATGTCGGTGAATACAAAGAATAAGTTTCATTTACTCAGATAAATTGTTCGCATCCTGTTCAACAAATATGACTTGAAATATTTTGATGTAAAACTGTATCGAAGATTTTTTGTAGCATGCTCAGCATACGAAGTTCGAACTGCTTCAGATGACGAGATTGCATACGAACAGTATACCCTATATCGAGGGGAAGCATCCAAAACTTCCTTAGCGAAAGGGAGAAGCACATCCTCAAATCTAGGAGATAGAAGTTAGTGGTTTTTAAGTATCATTTCAAATTTCCGATTGTCGGTTGTATATTCTGTGCGACAGAAAAGTCCGTGCTGAATTTGCTGTTTCATATTGAGGTATGTCGTAAAACATTGGAGCTATATTATAGTTGAATGGCATTTCGTACTTCATACTTGCTCTCTCGCAATTTATTTATTTGCATTTACTTTGTTTTGAGTTTTTTGTTTGGCTTAACAATTTTCGCTCGAAAACTGCACGTTTTATTACAATCTAATTATCGTCCGACCGTTTATTACCCGTAGAAAGTTACTGTGCTGACAGGAAGATATTCGCAGCATTAGATTTTTGTATGTAAATATGCACGATTATTTTTAAAAAATAGATAGTAAAGTTTCACTGTAAGCTATGTTATAAAATTTAGTTTATGCATAAATTGTGGATTCGGTTCTGGGTACGATTCTGCGATTCTCGATTCTCCCATAATTTCCTAACCACAAACAAGGAGTGATGACAGTTCGGCGCGGATATAAAAGTAAGAATTGGGGAGTTTTTTAATTTTTTTTTTCATGTCCATAAGAAACGCAGCGACAAAACTACATTAAAATGCTGGAGGTGTTCGTGATAGACCATCCTGACAGTGGAACTAACGAGGTTGAGTTATGAAATTTCGAGGTAACAGTTGGAAGGTGAAAAAAGTTGCTAAACATTGTGCAGTTTAATCACTATAATCTTTCAACCCAAAAGTTTTAGTTTCCCAAAATCTATCCTTATCCTCGATGGAAGAATTGTGGTTAATTAATTCGAACCGTATTGTAGCAGTAAGGACATTCTGTTTCGTTTAATAGAATATTTTCAGATTTCGATGACAAAGCATTAATCGTACAGACATTATTTATTGTGATTCTATTTGTAATATTTTCTTTTTGTACAGTTTTACCAGTTTGTTTTTATCATTGGTTCACTAACACAACAATTCATTTCTTTTTGTAAATAAATTCCGTACGTTTTTGCTTCAAATATAAATTTTCCAAAGCATTACTTAACTATCTCAGAGCATAGCTGTGTGTATTTAAACGAGGGTTGAACGTTAACACCAGACTGACTGATTCGCATGTTCAAATAGTAAACGCTCTTGTACTTTAAATAATATCATCTACTAGTCTGAGAGTTGAAGTGTGAAGTATGGTTTTGTAAAGTTTGGAAAGGAGCTTTGCGCATAATTTCATTTGCAAAGTCATTCTCCTAACTGCATATTTAGTGTGAGAGATTGATGATGGTGGGACTGTTGCTAATAGAATGAGATGACAGTTATTATTTGAGCCGTTGTGCATCCATGTATCATGTCCTCGCAGAATATGAATAGTTTTTCCTGTTTATGATACTATCTGTCTGACTTTTAGAGGAACGGAATGAAATAGTTGAATTAAGGACGTCGTGAACCTTTGTTTATTAGACGCATGTGGGACTGAATCATGTTGTACAGTGTGGCCTACGTCATAGATGACTAAACAGCGTAATGGTACTGGTATGCGTTTATTAATCACTGTTTGTTTAAAAGTGCTGTTGTGCCATAAGTAGTAATAAGAAGTGTCACTAATTGCGTGGGCATTGCGTCATTCATTATCAGAAAGTGCACCGTTAGGGTTCGTTCCCGAATAATATATAAGGGTAGTAGGTATAGTATTGATATGGTAACGGGTTTGGTAGTGATGCGCGAGGGGCAGGGAATATTGCAAAAGTGAACAATATTTTGTTATAATTGCTAGGAAGAAAAGGTAGAGAGAGGAATTTTGCGTGTTCTGAACCTGGAAGATGAATTCATCTGTCTTTTCCACTGTCTCTTCCCGTTACCTCTACAGCACAGTCAGAGAACTTTTGGCACACATACAAAGCGTAGTTTTTGGTTGCACTGATTTGAGAAAGAATTGCTTTGTTAAGTAGAGGAAGGCGCAAGAAGAATAGAAATTTCGATTGGATGGGATAGGATGGGATGGTGTTGAAAGGATGCGAGAAAAGGACGGCACTGCTCCATTCCAAGTCTTTTTCAGAGATTGTTGTGCTGTTGGTGCTATCACTTCAGCGTTTCTCATTTTTTGTTTACAATGCTGTGTACATTGTTGATTCATTCTCATCATGTTTTATTCTCATTTCCTTGTTCTTTTTTTTTTATTTTTGATCTTGAGGTCATCAAAATAGATCACATAGATTCTGTCAATATCTATTAGGTGATGGTGCTGTACAGCTGTTTCTCTGTTCTTTTCATATTTTCTTATAATTCCTACACGGATCCGAAATTGTGATCCTTCCATATTCATACTACAGATTTACAAGTTAGAGCATCTCTTTATTCTTCAGCACACTGAATTGTCTGTTTTTTAAATTGCAGTATTCTTGTTGAAATCTAGAACTTTATAATTGAACTTTATAACTATAACTTAATAATTATTTTTTTGAACTTTATGATTAAACTGCTCTCATTGGACTGATTATAAAGCAGTAGCACGAATTTCTATCTCTGAAAGATGGGCTATTTGAATTTCATCATCTGTGGACATTAGTTACGGCTTTCACTTTCACTTACTGCTTTAAACTGAAAAATGCCTTTGAGGTCACACTTTCTCTATTTTGTATTAATAGAAAAGTATCATTTCGACTAAGAAAAGTGAAGTGTTTGTGTGTTCGGTATTTCTCGTTTTTGTTGTACATGACATAAGAAACTATTTCATTTCGAAAGTTTTAGGTAAAGGTAATGGCCGAACATAGCTTCTACGCGGTAGGACATGGTAAGAAGCCGGGCGTATATGAAAAGTGGGCGGATGTGCAGGAACAGGCTTGTTTTCGACACTTGTCACTTGCATGGCCTTTTCTAAATACAGCTTTTTATACTGACTTTGAATAGGCTGTAGTCAACGTTGACTGAAAAATCAGGAGATAATAAGGTACTCAACACTGATCGATTTTCATTTTCGATTCACTGAAGCTATTGGTACATCTCTTTTGAACTAACATTATCTTACTACGACTTATTTCATTATCGTTAATGAATTTTCCTTTTATGGTAGATTCAGTTCAGTTTTGCAGATAAAAGATTTCCCTCAACCAGTTTATAAAAAATTTGCTACAAAAGAGGAAGCCGAGGAATATGTCAAAGTACGACGACCACAAAAAGTTTCATGTTAGTTACAACTTAACTTTTCATAGATTATTTTGTCAAATTTTACAATACACCTTATATATTGAAAGACTAATTTATGCATAAAATACCTTTCTAGAATGTTTTTTCAGTGTTCAGTACTACATTAACTTCATATATCCTAGATGTTAATAGTTTCAAAGACTACTTTAATGGTAATAGAAATGAATAACATGCAAATGATCCGTGCTTTTAAAGCAATTTCAGTGGAAGTGGATGAGGAAGCGGATAAATTTTATGCAATTGCTCGAGGGAAAGTTGTAGGAATATTTACAGATTACAATGAAGTTAAGAACCATGTGAGAAAAATATTGTATTTCTTTTATTATTCAAATTAAATTGAAAATTACATTCACATTTTTCCATAGGAATTCCAGAAGTTCATTTAACTCAATTCATTTATAACTAATTCATACAAAAAAGTTCCAGATAGCCGATTATCCTCAGCCGTTATACAAAAAATTCGAGAAACTAGATGAAGCAAAAGCTTATTATAAGAAATACTCGAGTGGAGAAGAGGATGGTAATCCAAAAGGTTTTGTTTTTACTTTCATTTTTTCTAAGATTTGTACATTTTTTAGGAGCACTGTGTAATAGCTATTTCAGAACACTATACGACTGCTTCAGAACAGCTATGATGTCTTTATTTGTCGAAATTCTTAAAAAGTAATTTGGCGCGATATAATTTGGTATTGATAAGAAGAATAACTCTATAATATCTTCATTACTACTTGTGGAATGAACTGACCAAACGGCATTCAAATGATGCAGATCATTAACTTGCTGATATTTACAAGAGACCATGCATAACAAACCAATGGATTTAAAAAGTGGAACGATATGGACGACGCGAAAAAAAATAGAAAAGAACAAGAAGAAACAAAGATGATTTAATGATATCGTGCCAAAAATGACTGTTAAATCGAGCATGTAATTAGTAATTTCAGACTCAAAAGCACATAGTACACCAGCGGATAACAATGAGAAAGAAGTAAAAGAGACGGAAAATACAGAAGAGAAGAAAGAGGCGAGGATAACATCGATTCTTGCTTGATTAATAAACACACGATTATGTTTTCTTTGCCCTTGAAGCGATGTGTTGCTAGTCTATCTGATATAATTTCAGAAGCAGATTTACTTCCTTTCTGTAAATTTCAGCAAACTAACAAAGAGCCAGTATTCTACGCTGTCGCACACGGCCATAAAACTGGTATATTCAAAACATGGGAAGAATGTCTGGAAGCAACGAGGGATTTCAAAGGTGCCAATTTCAAGAAGTTCAACAATGAAGAAGATGCAAAGTTGTTTGTTGAGAGTGGAAACATTAAGGAAGCAGGTAATCATTTTTGAACCATTAATATCTCTCTCTACAAACATTGCAAAAGATGGCCGATTCTTAATGTATAGCTTACTAGTTTCAGTTATATTTTATTTTGTTATTACTGCTTTTTCAAATTTAAAAGGCATTTGAAAACTGTAGAGGGTCGTAAGAGGGCTCATAGTCCGGATGATGTGGCAGATGATGTCGAAGAGAAAGCAGCGAAAAAAGAAGCGAAAACAAATGCCTGAAGAAGAGAGTTCCTGTATCTTACATTGGATTAATGCGATTATTTTATCCAGATTTTTTCAGATATTATTTTATCTCCAGATACTCCAGATACTGTTTTGTTGGTATTTTGTTTAACAAGAGTTTTCCTCGACGATTGTAAATGTAGTAATAAACTTTCTAATTCTGAAGGCATGTTTTTTAAACGAGTTCCGTAGTTTATTGTGTGGAAATTGGTAACAGATAATCCCTGTAATATCGCTAATCTTGTTTCCTGCACCGATTGGTACACGACTATATCTCAATATCTTTACTACCGCAACTCTTCTTTTATGAATATATTTTTTTATCAGAAATTAGTCATTTGTACTTAAACAAGAACTGATGACCTGTGGCTTTGGTATTGACTCTTTTCTATTTTCCTCGACGCAGTTGTGTTTTACCGTTTTCGTCATTCTGTCTACTTGATTACAGTAGAACACTCTGCACTTTTCTTCTTGAACAATTTTCTGTTGATATATCTATTTGGTGGAATGTTAAAAAATTGTTGTAAACGGTAAATATTCTGCGAATTCTCAATTCATTTCTTTCTCATTAGAAAACATTTGTTACTATACTTCGATTGTTAGATACTTTTTTTTTGCTAAAATCTCAAGCTGGTATCATGGTATCACGCAGTATTCATTTCAATAGCAGCTGACATATATTGCGCTGTCAGTAATTTGATGTCAGAAGTCTCACTGAATGATGGACGACGATTAGTTTTCCTAGTTTTCCTATTCAAGCTAAAGAGCTTTTGCAATAGTGCGCTGTTATTGCATTTACGGGAGGGATAAGCTGGTTGCCATCCAGTGTAGTGTAAGTCTTCGTGAACCCAGTGATGTCGGATTCTAAACGGTCATTTGGAGGCTGTTGTTTTGAAAGGATGCTGATAGGATGGCTTGTTTGAATCGTTTATGTTGCAGTACTTGAGAGAGATTAGAGATGAAAACTGGCTATTATGCTGTTGCTCGAGGTCGTTGTACCGGAGTCTATAAGACTTGGCCTGAGTGTGAAAGACAAGTGAAAGGATATCGAAATGCCAGGCTGGTGTTTCATCTTCAATTTTAGTTGTTAGGACTGACACGTGCATTAGCGATTTTGATGTTATTGCGCTAGGCAAGACTATTTAGGTCATGGAAAATTCTTTTATTCCAGCAGTTTCTGATAGCTGGGATAAAAAAAGTAAATCCTAAAAAGTAAATGGCTAAACAGTTGAGTAACTGCGGCATTGTTTTCGTTTATGTGTGACCTTGATTTCCGTAAATTATGAAAGTACTTTACGAAGATTTTTTAAAAAAAATTTGCAGGGTAGTTCAGTGGTATTACTTTCAGATATAAAAAATTCATTAAACAAAGTGATGCGCTCGCTTTCATTTTGCAAAATAACACCACTGGCCATGCAGGTACAAACTTCAACTTCATTTGATAAAGCAGTTACAAAATCTTTTCATGTTGAATACCGGGTAAGCAAACACGGATTTTCAGCCTGGAACTCTCCCTGTTTATAAAAGGTGGTTCTTAGAAGCAAAGTGATAAAAAAAAAAGGACTATAATGTTATCTCCTGTATTTTCATGATCTTCCATTATAAAATAAAAAAGTTGATAGCGTGGAAAAATCTAACAAGAGTTTCACATTCGTTTTTATCAAATAGGAAGTGGAAAAAGTTCGCAGTCTGGATTGCGTTCAACGACAGAATCGGGAAAATCACCGCCGTATGTTTTGTACTTACGATGACTGCTATCATTTAGATCTTGAATGGTAAAACTTAAGATTTCACGACCTTTTAGCAAGCTAATAAGGTATCGCTGCATGTTGTTTGATGAAAGGTCATATGCCAATATAGATAAATCGACGGATTTAACAGGAAGTTTAACCGCTGGCACCACCGGTTATTAAGTAATGGTCATGAGTAGTGGTCATGAATAACCGAAAAATTCTAATAAATACCAATAAGACGCTGGATTAGCACTACATTGCTTCAAGGTCATAAAAGAGGCAGACTTTCCTGATACTTATTTCCGTACCGCATGTGAATTGCATGTGAATTTATGAAAATGAATATTATCAAACTGGCTTTTTAGTTCACAGCTATCTTCTCAAGAGCAAAACATATGGAAAGGAGTTCCTGTTGTGTATACAGATGGTGCTTGTTCCTCCAATGGTCGTATTGGAGCTGCTGCTGGAATTGGAATTTATTGGGGCGAACACCATGTCGATAATATTTCTGAACCACTGCATAATGGGCCACCTACGAATAATAGGGCTGAACTTACAGCGGTCATAAGGGCTGTAGAAGTGGTAGTCTTCATTTCTAGAATTTTAGTTTTAACATTTGTTGCTTTATATAGTGGGAATCGAAAATCCGGTATCCCAGATCTGGAGAAATATTTACTCCGTTTCCTCATTCCTTCAGGCAATTCGGCGAAGATATCCACAACTCATTGTTCGCACGGATTCCAACCTTCTGATTCAAACGATGAATTCATGGATACATGACTGGCGAAAAAATAGTTGGAGAACATTAAATGGCACAGCTGTCAAGAATCAAGACCTCATTATTCAATTGAGTGGCTTGCTGGAGAATATAGATGTTAGTAGACATCTTAAAAATGTTAAAATATTAGCACTAAAAGGTGAATAGTATTTGTGTATTCCAGAGAACGTATTCTGATGTGCCAAAAGCTTAGATATATTAAAAACGATTCCCAAAATTCACTTTGTTGTATGTGGATTCCAGGTACGTTTTGAGCATGTTGCTGCACATGTAGGAATATTTGGAAACGAAAAAGCAGACCAGCTTGCCCGAGAAGGAGCAGTTCGTTACCGCCAAACCAAATCCTAACGATATGAAGGCAAAAGATTAATACGGATTTTTATCATTATCTTCGTTATAACTTCTAATGAAGATTTCTACCCCTCCTAAACTAAACTCTGCAATGTCGTATTGCTGCTCAATTATAAAATCCACCTCAGCAACATATCCTGGTATCTACCTAGGTTGCTTTAGAATCTATGGACAAAGCAACAATGGACACACTAAACACTTCCAGCTCGACATTTGCCACTAACTCCTGTTTGGATATTTCAGTTTTCGACAGCTAACAATTTTTTTTGCGACAAATGAGATGAATGAAGATGAAATTCATAACAAAAGAAAACAAACGGAAAGTTTTATAATACAAACATACGAAGCAACAGCTAGTATGTATCGCAGGAAATGAATACTTCCATTTGTCAGGAAGGAAGTACGTTTAGGTCCGACTGACCACAAAATAACATTCAGTTTTGCTGAGTTATTTAATGCTTGTCGTGTACTTCTGCGCTAACAGTTCATTAAACAAAATGTATATCTTCCTTATTGAAGGCTAGCAACAACGAAAGGAAGTCTTCTGTATCCATCTGCCTTGCACGTTTTGACGCAAAACCACTTCCTGTGATAATGTGCTCCACCTTGTCTCTTATATTAAATTGACTCTCGACTTCCTGAAAATAAATTTTTGCTTAGGTACAGATTTCTTACAAAACAAAAAGATCTTAAGAGTGAAGATTTTGAGTATAGTTAACATACCTTATTTTTAATGCTGTAGAGAGCCCTGTAGCTCTTTTCCAGTGAATCACACACTTGATTATTTTTAAACAGTGACAATAAGGTTTTATTCTTCCTGAGGAAAACAATCCTAAGCAGATTATCCCATTCCTGAAAACCTTGACAAGATATTATACACGCTGACTTGATAATGCCCATCACTTGCTGAGTTGTAAAGTTCCCGCTTTTTAAAATACAAGAATAAAATAAAGCAGCATGCTGCTTAAAGTATAAACTAGATACAAATATAGAAGTCATATTTTTTTAAGTATACGAAATAATATTTTGTTACGTAATTGTGTTATTTCTTATCAAGCAGGAATCAACACTACAGTACATTATCTATAACTGATCGTATTTTGTTACCTCCTATAAACTTCAGGACTCTTATTTCGCCAACAGTGATATGGATAACCTTTCAGCCGAAAAATTGCTTAATGTGCGGAACGCGACTTTCTGTTTCACATTTCCGCACTTTTTAGTACCATAGTAACAAAAAAAACACTCATAAACAAAATACGCATTAAAAATAAGGCTAGGAATGTGCCCAATAAGTCTGATACAAAGCACATGCATTATTTTATAACCTTGTACATTTATTATTATTTCCACCATATATGTGGAAAAATTTTTGCATATTAGAAAAGAATCAACTTGAAAATTGATTTGAGGAGGAGGGTTTCTTGGTGCGATGCGTACGACAGCTGAATCCACTTTTGGTGGTGGTCGAAATTCTGTTCGCTTTACCTTCATTAAATGTTCTACCTGAAGAAAAATTCCAATTAGAGTTTAAATGAGTAAACACACGAGACCCGTCCTTTAATGAAACTAAAATCTTGCAGAAACTAAATCAACTGTAAAATGAAACAATTTTCAGACAACTTAATCATGAAAAGACGTAATTCCAAAGGAATGAAACAAAAATTCTTACTTGTGCAAGGAACTGGACATTCACACTTAACCGACAGTATAACTTACTGCCTGGTTTTGCTAATAATCGATCCGCAAACTCCTTTTGGAACATTAATACAGCATACCTCAAGTAAATTACATAAGAACTAAAATTACTTATTACAGTTTAACGTGGGAGCTCTGCTGAGAAAAGCTGTTTATCTGTTTATTTATAGAAAGCTGTTTATCTTCCAATCCTAAGAACCTAATGTTTTATAAATTACCGAGGCAAAGGTCGCTGCAGTAACATCCTAAATACAAAAGGCGATGAGATCTGATAAGGTAGATTAGCAATGCACACATCAAAAAAAGGCCACTCCATTTTTATCACATCTCCTTGTTTCATTTCCAATTTTTGCTGATGTGATCTGTAAGCATCAAAGCAATGGTCAAATTGTACTCAATCATATTCACTCTATAAGCTGAAACAACTGCAAAAAAACAGGTACAAAACAACTGGACAAAAAAATCAAAAACAATTATGCATCAGATGAAACTGTAAGAGGAATCACTCACGTTCCAATCACTCGTTTTTTCAGTTCAGCGATCATTCGCCGATCAATTTCGCATGCGATTACCTTTTTAGCTTTTTCCATAAGCACTACTGTCAAATTACCTGTACCAGATCCAACTTCGAAAACAGTGTCTGTTGCTTTGATTGCTGACTGCAAAAGTGCTGAAGTAAGTTCATACGTCCTTGGTGACATTTACTTCTTT